CCCCCCTGCCTCCCCGGGGACCCCCGTCCCTACCTGCCCCCCTGCCTCCCCGGGGACCCCCCGGTCCCTACCTGCCCCCTGCCTCCCCGGGGACCCCCGTCCCTACCTGCCCTCCCTGCTGGCTGGGAGGAAGGCACCCGCACGGTGTTGACAAGGAAGGGGCTCCTCCCATGGCATGACCAGCACAGCACAGCTGGAACCTCTGTAAAAGGCCACGGTGCCCACGCTTCCTGCCCAGCAAGCCCTCCTGCCTGGGCACCATCCCCAGACCACCCCTCTGCTTCCAGGTGGCACAGCTGAACATCAGGTGGGCGAGGCTTTGGGGGTCACATCTGAGCACCTGGTCTCATGGGGCTCCCCCTCCAGGGAGGGTGGGCTGCTCTCCCCTCCCACCGGCAGCCTGCAGGTGGGTAAGGGCACCCACGTGTCCAGGATGCACCTGCATCAGCTCCACGCTGCCCCAGCAGTCACACTTGAGTCACCTCATTGTGAATTGCTATGACTCAGACACTGTTCTGGGCATTGAGGGTCTAAACATTGCAGGCTCTCAGCCAGCCAGCACTGGCCACCCAGGCCACCCGCTCCTCACTGCAGTCCTCGAGAGGCCTGGAGGCAGCGGGGACCCTCCCCCAGCGCCATCCCCAGACAGAAGGAAGTTTGCAGCCAACACTTTCTAGAGGCGTCTCTGCTAATGCACCAGGAGCGAGAAACCGAAAAAAGGAAGCAGATTGAGGAAGGCCCCTTTGCAGAATGGGGGTGGGGGATGGAGGAGGCATGGCACCCCCCCTTCTGAGAAACCCAGCTGGACCTCACAGGTCTGGAAGTCAGGAAGCACTTGAAATCTGTCTGATGGCGACGCTAGGCACTGACAAGGCCACTGTGCCAGACCCTGCGGCTGGGAGGGTTCCCAGAGCAGGTCTGCCCGGGGTCAGCTGTGGGGGTGCATCCTCCGAGGGAGTTCCCGGCTGCTGGGTGACCCTCCCCAAACAGCCCCGCGGGGCTCAGGTGACTCCCCCTGTTCCTGCCCTCTCAGGCTGAGGGGGGAGGCAGCCTGGGAGCCAGCTGCACCGCCGCCGCCCCCCCCCCCCGTCGTTTCCCAAAACCCACCCACACTTTGCAACCAGCCCCCTTCGCCAATTCTATTCAGCAACCCAAGGGAGAAGCCATCGGTGTCCCTGGGGGCCCTGTCCCCCTCCGAGACCTCCTCCCACCTAGGCTGAAGGTGTGTCTCCGAAGGTTCCTCTCCGATCTGAGCCATCATGTACCATCATGTACGTGTGATCACTTAAGAAAATAGCTATTCTAACTCCTCCCCGATGAAGATGTTCAAATCCACAAAGGACTATTTTATTCCTGTAAAGGCAGCGACACCCAGGATTGATGAAGCAGCTTGGTGCTGATGACGCCAGTGAGGCTGGCCACACTACGGACTCGGGTGGCCTGCGATGGGTCACCGCTGATTTGGAACACCACCCGGTAACCACTCCAAGAGGCACGGAGAGAGGGGTCTGCCTTCTGAGGGCAGAATCCCACAGGAGAACAGGCCCTGTGCCTGGATGATGGGACTGTGCCTGAAATAATGGGACTGGGAGGCACATGCGCATCCAGTGACACCACCTTTTGGAGGATAAAGATTCTTCCCAACAAGTCCTTTGAGGGGCGCCCTCCCCCCTAGTCAGAGGGACACTGACCCCTCCCCAACACCCAGTCTTCAAAAGCAAGGGAGGCCTGGGGTGCCTGCTACCCACTGAGAAGAAGGGTCAGAAGCCTCCGACCTCCCTGCCGGGTTCCCTCCTGCGAGCAGCAGGCGCTAAGGGGTGAGGGGTGGTTTCCACTTGCAGGAACCGGGGCGGGAGGGGAGCGGGCCAGGCTGGGAACACCACTGCAGGAAGCGGATCCGCCAAAGTTGCTTCAGCCCCTGGGGGGCGGGCGACCCCGCTGTCTGTGCTCCAGGCTCCTGCGCCCAGGGGTGGGGCCGCTGGGGCAAAGTCAAAGGCTGAGATTGGCCCTCCCGCAAGGGCGTGCGGGGGGGGGGGGGGGGCGGGCGTGCCGGCCGGAGCCCTCTCCTCCGGGCTGCACTCTTGGGTTCAGGCTGTAGCGCCTGGGAGCCGCCCCTTCCTCCCGGCAGGGCCGTGAGCCCGCGTTACTGCCCCACTTGCTGCAGGCGCACTTCCGCAGGCCTGAGAGGCCGGGGTCCGGGCGCAGCGCTCATTTCTGTGAGGCGCCTGGGGACGGAGGGGGTCACCGCACAACAGCTAACGACCCCCACACACACACTGGCCTCTGGGGGCGCTGCTGAGCCCAGGCCCAGCTCCGCCTGGACCGCGGGGCTCCACACCCAGGCCTGGCGGGGTCGGGGGGTGGGGGTGGAAGGTTCTCCCATCGCCCCACCTTCCTTGTGAGCTCAGCTTCCCTGTCAGACGACTCTGCTCCTTACCGGCTCAGCGCCATGGGCGGGGGCTCCCCGCGGATCCCTGGGGTCTCAGAGCAGCGGGGCCCCGGGACCCCTGGCCTCCGGAGGTTCCAGTTCGGGGCTGGGCTGGTCCGAGAGGTCAGCTCCCGCCTCAGACTGAGCTCTGCAAAGCCCAGCTCCTCGGGGGGAAGGGAATCCCAGTGTCGCCCCGCCTTCCGCCCTCATCCCGCCCCCTCCACACCCTCCCCCTCCGGGTAAGTCTAGGCGGGCCGCGTGGACGCCGGACGGGCTGGGGGCGGGTGGCGGCGGGGCCGGCGCAGCCCCTCCGGGCTCCTTTCAGCCGGGTCACCAGTCCAGGGTGAAGGCTATTCAGTGAGCGTAGACGCGGGGGGGAGGGGCAGGGCAGGAGCGGCCCCCATGCCCTCCCCCGTCCTCAGTCAGGGACCCTCTGGGCAGGGTCCTTGGGGCCTTGTCAGTGGCTCAGGCGACATTTCCCTCATAACAAAGCTCTCAACAGCTCAGGGCAGGGGAGTGACCCCCTTCCTGGACCCCACTCAGTTCAGCCCCCGCCCACTGCCTGCCCCCGACCTCGGGGACCCTGGGGAGTGCTGCCTTCCGGTCCTGCGACACCCCGCTCGGTTCCTGACTCTGTGCCCTGCCCTCGGCACTCCGGGAGGTTCCCAGTGGGCCGGTCCCCACTCCTCACTTCTCTGTCCTCATTTGCTCAGCCCAACGGGGTACCACCCGCCTCCCTCCCCCTCTCTGCCCCAGTCCTCTACCGATCATCAACGCTCTGTTTAGGAGACTGGTAGCCCCTGGAAGCAGGGGAGGAGAGGGCGGGGGAGAGGGCTGTGGACAACTGCCTCTAGGGGCGGCCACGGCCACGGCGTCCCTCCCACAGGCAGGGACAGGTCCAGGCCCCGGTCACCCCGGCCCTGTGCTGGTGGCTGCAGAGGGAGGAGAGAACGCTGCGCTGGACGAAGGTGGCAGGAAGGCAGGTGTGCTGCTGAGAAGGTGGTCGTTAGGCTGCTGCCCGAGTCCCCTTGGTGACGTCACCCCAGCTCCCCAGGCTGACGCTGGCAGACGCACTCCGGGCCTCCTGCTTAGCGCCGACCCCCATGCCTGTCCTTGCAGCCAGACCCAACTCCCGAGTTCCTAGCGCATCCCAGGGCCAGCTGTCAGCCCCAGGTGACCCCTGAGCCCAGTCTGCTGGGAGCGCTGAGTCTGCGCACGACTGCATCCGGCATCTGGGCCACCTGGGGCCCTCCACCCTCGTCTTGGTGGGGACGGTCTGGAAAGCAAGTCTCTGCTCCCAGCACTTGAGGCCAGAATGCCTAGGGCTCCAACACAGAGGTGGGGCTCTGTCTCACGGGGCGGACCCGCCCTGCCCCGGGACCCATCGCTTGGCCATCACACCGTTTCCCAGCCCGTCGCTGTCGCTGTCGAGCATGTGGAGCGTCTGAGGTGGGGCTGGAACGATCAAGGAAGAACTAAAATTGTAAGGCTCCATGTGACCCGAGCTCTGCCACGTACTGTCCACGTGGCCCTCAGACAGACCCTTAGACCCCTGGAGTGTCAGATGGCTCCACCGTAAAGGGCAGAGACTGCCTCTCTGAGGTCAAAGACAGGGCTCTGGCCACGCACGACTGCAGGGAGCTTTGTCGGACGCAGAGTGTCTGGGAGTTTTGTTGTTGTTTTTAACTGTGTTGCCCACACTTTAAAACCAGGAAGTTGGCTGACAGGTCAGGATTTCTAGCTTCTCTGAAGCTCTGACGTTCTGGCAGGCAGGGTCCTCCTTCCTCAGATGCGGTCCGCCACAAAAAGGCACCTCGAAAGTCTGGAACCCCCGCTGGTTGCACAGGCACGCACATGTCTCTGGGGAGCAGGGAGCTGAAACCTGCGAGGAGCACGGCTGCCTGGCTGCTGCGGCCCACGTGCGGTCGCCGTCTCGGTGGCCAAGAGCAGCTTCTGGTGGCCCCGCCAGGGCAGAGGACGGGACGCCAAGCCAGCCCAGGGCAGAGCGGGCATGGGGGCCCCCAAAGGCTGGTGTCTCGAGAGGGGCCAGACTGGTCAGAGAATCCCCGCGGCAACACAGCCTCAGCCCAGGCTCGGGCTCCAGGTCACCCCCTGCTGGAAGCTTAGTCACACACGGAGCTACACAGAGGCTTGGGTTTTCATTTGCTGTGTGGCTCAGCAAGCGAGTGGTCCTGGGCCCCCCACAGCAGTAGTGAAGTCTCTTCTAGAAGAATGTGGCTCTCACACCAAACTGCACAGACTCCCACGGCTGAAGCCACATGACACAAACACCGTGGTTACAGACAGAGGAGAGACTCTCCCTGAGCAATTACAGCAAAGCAACAGACTCAACCACGTTCAGAAAATGGAATTAGAGCTTCTTCGTGGCATCTGGGAGGCGGTGGGCTGCTCCGGGATGAACTGAACATCTCTTTCCCCGCTCCCGGCTGCCAGAAACGGCAAACGCGAACTCCATACCTTTTATGAGAAGGCTGTGGCCACGGAAGTTGCTGCTAATGCTCTGGGTGAAGTATGGAAGGGTCACATGGTCCGAATCAGTGGTGCCCACGACAAATGAAGCTTCCCCCTGAAGCAGGGTGTCTTGACCCATGGCCACATTCACCTGCTGCTGAGTGAGGGGCTTTCCTGCTTGGAGCAAGGAGGACAGGGGTCCGTTCGGGGCTGCACTGTGGGCACCAGTGTCAGTTCACGTGATCCTGGGGAGACGAGGGGAGAAGAGTATTCCCGGAGTCACTGATACTACTGTGCCTTGTCGCCTGGGCCCAAAACAGCGAGCAGAATCTGCAGACGTTTCACTCTCTCTAAAGAAGAGGATGTCTGCCAGCACGTTGTGAGAAAGCCCCTAAACAGAGAAAGTAAGAAATCCGGACCCAAAGCGCCCAAGATTCAGCATTTTGTTCCTCCACGTGTCCAGCACAGACGTCGGCCCAGTTCCCTGAAGAAGCAGCACGCTACGAATAAGGAAGAGGCTGCAGAATATGCTCAACTTTTGGATGGAAGCCAAAGAAAATTGCCAGGAACAGGATGGTAAGAGACAGACAGCTTCGCTTTAAGTCTGAGTCCAGTTAAAAATCAGGATTTTCAGAGCGCCCAGGTGGCTCAGTCGATTAAGCATCCAGTTCTTGATTTTGGCTCAGATCATGATCTCAGGGTTGTTGGATCGAGGCCCACATTGGGTTCCGTGCTGAGTGTGAAGCCTGCTTGGATTCTCTCTTCTCCTTCTCTCTCTCCCTCTCTCTTCCTCTCTCTCTCTCTCTCAAATAAAAACTTTTTAAAAATGAGATTTTCTGGAGCACCTGGGTGGCCCAGTCGGTTGAGCGTCCAACGTCAGCTCAGGTCATGATCTCATACTTTTTAGGTTCGAGCCCCGTGTCAGGTTCTGTGCTGACAGCTCAGAGCCTGGAGCTGCTTCAGATTCTATGTCTGCCTCTCTCTCTGCTGCTCTCCTGCTCACACTCTGTGTCTTTCTCTCAAAAATAAATAAACATAAGAAAAATAATAAAAATGAGATCCTCTAAGAGTCATGAATTAAAAAAAAGAAGAAACAAGAAAATGGAATTAAAAATATTAAAAATAAGATGTGTGTTTAAAATTTTTAGAGGGGCACCTGGGTGGTTCAATTGGTTAAGCGTCCGACGCTTGATTTTGGCTCAGGTCATGATCTCAGTTTGTGGGATGGAGCCCCATGTCAGGCTCCACAGCGTGGGCATGAGGTGGTTGTGTTTGCTACAATGTGGATGACGCTCAGGGAGCGCTATCCCGAGGGAGGAATCACATGTACAGGACCACATACTGTCTGGTTCCATTGACAGGGAATGTCCACGCTGGAAAGCAGATCCGTGGTCGCCAGGGCCCGGGGTGGGGGTGGAAGCAGGGAATGGCATTAATCCATTGTGACAGCAGTGCCGCTTTGTGAACACACAAAAGCCCACTAAACTGTATACTTTAAAATGGTACATTTTATGCTATGTGTGTTCTATATTTCAAGGGAAAAACACCAGGATGGAAGAGGGCTGTAAGGCTGGGCAGCCCACTTGTGACCAGACACTGGAGGCTTTGGTGGCGCGTGGAGGAGAGGAGCTGAAGACACACGGAGGTGCAGCGGATCAGCCAGGAGGTGAAGGCCGCCTGCCCGAGCCAAGCTGGCCAAGCCTTCTGGGGCCTGTTTTCTGGGAATAGAGCCATGAGCACCCTTGCACCCTGCCCGCCCCCCCCCCCCAACTCAGGGCTAGGGCTGTAATGCTCCTCCTCCACCCCTCCCCCGACCAAAACCAGGGAGGGAGCCGACACCACTCCCCATGTCTCCTATCTCCCTTTGCCATTCTCCCCTGAGCTTGGTCACCCATCACCTCCTAACTTCGCATTAAGGCTGGACTGGAGGACCTTGGCTGCTGCTGCCTGAGCCTCTTTGAACAGTGTCTGGAGAGCCACCGGCTCTCCTGGGTGTGGGGGTCCCTGCTGACCCCAGCAGCCTCTCCTCTTTTCCCCCATCGTCTGCAGGGCTTTGGCCACACCAAATGTTCCATCTCTGTGTCACCACTGTGCCAAGCCTCTGTCCCCTCTGCTGGGCACCCTTCCCCTCTCTGCTCCCATAGCAACCTGTGAGTTAGGTCCTCACCGGCACTGCAACCCCTGCAGCCTCCAGCACGTGCCTCCTGGCCCGCAGGCCCCACCTGGCTGGGCTCCGTGAGGCGGACGGGGCCGTGGTGGCTGCGTGTCCTGTCCCAGCACAGCTGGCTGGCCAGCAGCTGCAGTGTTGGGGGGGGAGGGGGAGAGGGTGGAGCTCTGGTCAGCCACGCACATGACAGGCTGCCCAGCCATGGGCCAACCACATCCGCACCAGGACTATGCCCGCTCCCCCTGCCACCCCGGAAGGAATCCTTCTAAGACCTCTGATGCAGGGGTGGCGGGGCATCCTGTGCCAGGTGGGGGCAGGTGGAGAGGGGCCTTCCGGGGGGGGGGTGGCCAGGATGGACATTGTGCGGATGCCCTGCTCCAGGCTAAGCTGTGCCCCAGGACGCAGAGAGCCTCAGTCGGGTGGCTGTCCCAGAGCCCGGCTGGAGGGGGTCCCCAAGTATGCGCAGCAGGCGCTGGGGGCATGTGCCCCTCTTCCAC